GCACTGTGAATCGTATTCGGATCCCGAAAACAAGTAAGGACCCCTCACCCTATTTCCTATCACGGTATTAAAGTTCAAAATGATAAAACGGTATTTCTTGAATTAACGAATGTGTGAAATTGCTTAAGGTGGCTAATGGAGCCCGAGTCTAGTGTGATTGGTGATTTACTGTTATTTAGCCTGTTTACAGCTTTAAATGCAAAATGAGGTTTGATGTGTTCATTTTACAGATTTGTGTGCAAATACTACGTTTTTATTAATCATGGGTTGAATGACTAAAAAACTGATACTGTATGTTGTCTGTTCGGCATGAATTACTGTTTTGCTTGTTTGTATGTGAATTGATGATGCTGACTGAGGAAAAGGAAAATGAAAGATTGTGTAGACTGATAATTGTATTATGAGGGTCAGCCTAACTAGATATCCTGGGAGATGGTGGACGGACCAGGTCCGTAGGGAACCCTACCGGGATTGTGGTCTCACATGCCGGACGGGGTATGGAGATCTTATGGTTTTGGCACCCATATCGGACGGGGTATGGGGACGGCCCGTTTCACCCTCATACCGGACGGGGTATTGAGGTTTATGGTTTTGGCGCCCATACCGGACGGGGTATGGGGACGGCCCGTTTCACCCTCATACCGGACGGGGTATTGAGGTTCATGGTTTTGGCGCCCATACCGGACGGGGTATGGGGACGGCCCTGGAAACTGATTATGAATGTTAAAGGTTAACGGGTAGCGGAACCCCTATGGACCCCCACGGATACTAGTAGGCTGGTAAATGAGAAAAAGATATGTTGTACAATGATTGAATTACAAGAGGCGTGATAAGTATTATGTTTTACAGCTTATATTATTCCATGATTATGATAATGTTATTATTTTTCTTATATTGTTTTCATAAATTCCACCGAGGTAAGTGGATGGTGAAGGTTTTCATGTTAATAAACGAGTTTATTGTAAATTATGCTCCATTGGTCTTTTTGTGTTTTTCTACCCACCTTTACCTCCGTGACGGTGAGATATCGTGATGTTCTTACTGGGCTAGTGTAGCTCACTCCTTATTTAACCATTTCAGATCAGGAAGACATGGTTCCCGAGCCCGTTCCGCAGGAGGACGACGAAGGGGATGCCTAGAGACTCTGTAGTCATACTCATAGTTTTATTTTCGAGTTTCTCTCTTAGTTAGTTTAATCTTTTATATTTTAAGTACGTTTTTGGTTTTTCGTGTAAGGGATGTTAACTGAAATTTTGATCTCGCTTCCGCATTTGATATATTTAAATACTCATTTCATTTTAATATTTCCGGGGCCGTTACAAAAAATGAACATTTGGGTGGAAAAAAGAAAAACCATACGAAATGATATATTATAAAAATAATAATAATATAAAAGTATTATTTTCAGACCTTAATATATTTGTGATATGTTAAATGTTTTTAAGTACAAGTTAAATTTTATTCATATAAATGCTACATAATAATCACATAGGGTGTTCTATGAACTTAGAAACTGTGGAGATAAGTTATTATTTTTATTAATCGTATTATAATATTAGTGATTTAATTATCATCACAAATATTGTAAGATCTGGAAAGTATTATTATTATTATTATCTACACTAAAGTATAATTACTATAAAAGTATTAAAATAAAATAAAAGATCGAGTAGAAAAATAAACTCAAAAGTAAAATCATAAATTTAATTGAATATGCCAAAATAAACAAAGTAAATTGTCTGAATGGACAAAACAACATCATATATATAAAGCTTTTCTAGTTAAAACATAAATTATCTGATTGTAATTTTTAACAAATAAAAAAAAAACAAGAATCAAAACATGAAACCAAATCTATACACCTAAATCTCTAGATAAATTGATATTTAGAAGAAAATAGATGGTAAAATTTTTCGCGAGTATTTCTCAAACATAAAATTATTAACTCTTCTTAACTCTAAATGATAACTTAATATAAGATTTTCTGTCATCCTAACTAAATTTAAGGAAGTATCCACCTCATCTTGTAAACTATACTATGTCAATTTGTACAAATTATCTTTATTCATCTCGTGTTATTATCATATAAAAATTCATTATTTCTAATTTGATGCAAATATTAGCATGCATATTATATACTCCCTATACATAAAATTTCAAATATAAATACTTAAAACAGAATTAAAATGTTGAGTATTATAGTTTCTTTTACTTGTTTTTATCATAAAAAATATATATATTCCATTACAAAAAATTTGATAGATTCACTAAATATGTATTATCAATTAAAAGCAAAACGACACTTATTTAAGAGATGGTCCTAGTGTATGACATGTAGGGGACTATAATTTTCATCACCTATTTGATGGGTACATAATTGTTAAGCTCCAATTTAAGAATGGTCATTTAGTGGGTGGCCATCGACAGATCGAATCAGAGGCCTATAATACTGCAAAGAAAAATGACCAAGCCTTGTTACAGAGAATTTTTAGAAGCACCTAAATCAAAAAACTTCTTGTATTACGTAAGAAACTTGGCCAAACTCCTTCTTGGTACATCGTTGACTGATAATACTAACATTAACGTGGTAAAGTTAGTTGATGGTCAAGTAATTTGTTTGACAAAAACACAAAAAATTCAATAATTATCAATTCTGACACACTTGGAACGCTTTAAAATTTTAAATATAGGAAAGTATTAGGTGGGCTGATCCACACAGTTCATCTAATAGTTACAGATACATAATTATTAACATTGTTATCTGATTTGGTAAATCCAAAATATTTTGTGGTAAGAATGAAGACTAAATCCAACGAGAGAAAAGTGATAGGTCGTGTCAACTGTCGTGGCGGTCCAGTTTCGAGTTGGGTCCACTCATTCCCAATTACATAACACTATATTATTGTATCTGAAATGCCATTGAGATATTGTGCACAGAATTTGTGAAGGGCTAAACCCACACCACTTTACAAGTTTGAGTGGTAAGCTTTTATACATGTCATGTGCAAGGCTAGTGGTAAAAATGTAAGGTCCCTCTCTCTTTTTAACAATGTATTTTTGGTTTCTTGAGATTTAAGTATGAGCTTTTTGAAGTATATAATAGAAAACTTTTAAGTAGTTAAGTAAATTTTTTTAATTAGATTATGCTTAATTGATTATTATAGTATTACAAGTGTCAAGTGTAGAAATACCATTATATATGACATTCCATTTTATCAATGCGCACAAAGAGGGAGATGATGAGGGGAAGGTGACAGGCGTGGTCGTTGATTGTTGTAAGTACAATGCAGACACTAGCATTCTCAATAGACTTTGCTTACATAATCTGCGCTCATTTTATAGCCAATATATCTTACCAAATTGCAGGTTCGTACTATATATTCCTATTGAATCATTATCTCTTAATTAATTACAGAATTAAGTGCTTACTAAATTTCTTTCCCTCAAATTTGGTAATTTTAAATTATTTTTCGAAGTTACTCAAGGTTTTAAAAATATTTACAAATTGAGGTCACCAACAATTAAATTAAATTAATTTTTCGATAGAAATCAACTTCTACTAAGTTTTCACATTTTTCTTCTGCACTGAAACTGGCTTCCTGTCAAGAGTTTCTAGGCTTTCAGTGCATGCATGAAGATCTTAAAGAGATGGAAAGACAACCATTCCCAGGCCAGGCTAGGAATGCTAAGAGAGGAAACTACTTTGCCAGACTTCTTTTAGTATAAAATGAAAATGGACTTTTTTGGTCTGCATAAGCAAAATTGGGTCTAAATTGATGGTGCAATTGAAAAAACAGGGTTGGGAGATTTATAATACCATTTGATGGGAGTCCTTGCGGGAAGTTGGAGACAGCATTGGACCCAAATGAGCATGGTAGAGGCATTGATATGTGCAGGATCCCAAAAATACAGATTCACTTATGGCTGTGGGGCACAGCGCCCTTGTAATTTCCTCAATACCCTAACTAAGGTAAGGTTACTAGCAATTTGAATTTTCATATTTTCAGTAACAGAAGACTATTACTTTGCCAATTATCTACCTAATTAGCTACCTTATTGAGCTAAATCAAACTGGCCATGCTGATTGTGATGTTAATCATTAATAATAGTCTATTATGTATATGCTGCAGCTTGATTTAGTACAGAAAAAGTCCAAGAATTGGTACGAGGAGGGTGCTGTTCCCTCCGAACCATTCTTTGTAGGGCGGCCTGGCGCAATAGAAGAAGATGATGGTGAGTTCATATCTGTTGAGAGTGTGTATAATGTCTATACCACAGTGATTAATATTTCACAAAATGCATACATTTATAATTAACCAAAACAAATTGTGTCATCAAATTTTGCCATGCGTTTGTTGCTGCAGGCATGGTGATCTCAATGGTACGTCAAAATAATGGCAGAGGCTATGCATTACTACTAGATGGATCTAGCTTTGAAGAAATTGCAAGAGCAAAATTCCCTTATGGCCTACCATATGGCTTTCATGGCTGCTGGATTCCAAAAAAATAGATCATTTAAATAAAAAATCCTCATCATAATCAAGAGCTACATCGATACATTTATACATATATAAAGATAAAAGTCATTGGAGTAGCATACAACATGCAGATCATTTGCCTGCATGATTTTTGCATATATCTAGAGGGTTGATAATCCTGATGTATTGTAACTGCATGGTGAAAAATAGGTAGAAAATTTTCCATCTCTGATCAAGAACTTATCAGTTCTGACAGTCTTTTGATTACGATTTATCAGTCTCTCAGCTACATGCTCTGCAATAGGATGAGAAATACGCAACTGAATGCCTGAAGAAAAACAACCTAAACCTTGTATAATCTTACACCTTATACAGTTTTCATGGTAAGAATTCACCCCAAAAGATTGTAGTAATTTCAGCCATCATGCTTCTTGAGATTATTTTCAATTATTAACAAGAAAATAGGTTTCATGTTGCTTTCGGATTTTTTAAACATTAATTTGTTGTATGCCATAAATAAACTTTCCCAAAACAAATTACCACAAGAAGACCAGTAAACAAGAACAAATAGCTTTCTCAACTATTAGCAACAAGGAATAAATCTGCCATCACCTCCGAAACTAATAAAAATATAAGATTAGGAAGTGAAAAAAGTAGTTGAAAAGAGAAAAAACTGCCACCTAAGACCAGCTCACCGGAGCAACAATAAGCAATCTTTCTATTTTGCTTGTAAGGCCACTGCAAAATTTGAAAGTTTCCACACGGAGACAGCTTTATGTGACTGTTCAGTTACTCAATTGAATTGCCAAAGAAGGAACAGGAGACATGGATTTTTATCATTTCTGGTCTGTGTATACGGCATCAACATCATCAAGTTCAAGTAATTTGGATAGAAGCACCCTGTTCAAGTCCATAGCCTCATCATCCACCTGAAAACCCCTAACACTTTCATATCATTTCTCTAATTATGTGGAAACTGAGAAACAAGTATGAACTGTTCACAGACAACCAACAAACTGATTTGTTACTATTTGTTGTATATATTAATCATAAAGCACATGGGAATATTTATCTGAACATATATTCCCTGTGAAAACAGTTGGGTTTCGACCCTGCCTACTTCAGTATAGCCTTCAAATCTGCAAATTTTGCCATGAGAAAATGACATATTTTAGGTGAAGAGATTATGACAAGACTGTCAGAGTCCACTGTTTGACTATGAATTAAATCTTACAGAAAAAGTAATAATAATAATGATTGCAAGATGATGGGTACATTATCTGGCTTCTTAACACTTCGTCAATTCAAATATTTGCTTGGTAAGATATTTACCATGAAGATCACCAGCTTATATTCTTTTAAAGATCCACTGAAGCAGGAAGGATGAACTAAAGAAGATGAAAGTACCATCCCAAGAACCAAAAGACTTAAGATTCAGTGCAAGAGTAAAAATTGAATGTCATTTGTATCTTTCTTGCATATTTTTCTTATTTTTCTTTTCTGTTTTTCTTTTTTTTTTTGGTTTTTTTTTGGAAAGATAAAGTGACATCTTAGATCTTATTCATAGGATGAGGCAACATATCTTTTACTAGTGGTAAAATGATATAGCGCCTCATTTTCTACTAGTCCCTTAGGTGCTAGAGTTTGATCAAACAAAGGAAGTCACAATCATATGTTGTCAACTTGTGCCTCATGGCTCCAAAATGGACAAAGGAGTTGGCAACACAAGTTGCCTACTACACACCTGATTTTTAGGTCAGGTGGGTACTTCTCCACTTCCACAAGTTGGAAGTTGGAGGTTCAAATCTGCCCAAAAACTTTATGTTCCTGGTATTGGGCTTGAATTTTGGAAAAAAAAAAAAAAAAAAACAAAACCACGAGTTGCCACCTCTTTTTGGACCAAATTATTGCAATATCAAGCAGCCAACTTGTTTGGCACGATGACTGGATGGGCGATGGTTCTTTTAGAAGCCACTATCCAAGAATTTATGGCCTAGCACAGTCAAGTAACATGCTGGTTGAGAACATTGTGAAAAATAACTCTATTGAATAGTCCATCAATGTAAAAAGAAATTTAAATGATTGGGAGATTCAAGAATACAAAGATATTTTGAAGATTCTGGCTTCCTAATATATCAGCAACCAGCCTGATCAGATCTGGTGGTCTAGAAAAGAATGGAAATTTCTCTGTCTGCTCTGATTACCAACTTCTGTTTAATGTGGACTGAGGGTTTCATTAATTTCCCCTGGAAACAAATATGGAAAACAAAGGTTCCCCTGCGTGTTGCTTTCTTCGCTTGGGAAGCTTGTTGAGGGAAAATTCGCACTTTTATAAATTAAGGATAAGGAGTCTGGTAATAGTGAATGGATGTCATCTATACCTACAGGCTGAAGAATCATGAAACCATCTACTCTTATGGTGTCCTACAGCATATTATCTTTGGAGTATGGTTTATGGACTGTTGGGAATCAATTGGGTTAATGGCGGGTGCGGCGCGAGATGAAGTGTTGGCTTGGGAAGGTTTATGTATAAAACGAAGAATTGCTAACTTAATTTCATTGACCGTTCTTTGGGTTCTGTGGAAAGAAAAAAATGATAGAGTTTTTGAGGATAAACAATATGGACTAACTAGGTTAAGAGATAGGTGGATATATTATTTTGAAACTATATTGATTGGTCGTGACATTATTAGTAAAGAATATTTTGAGAATGTTATTGACACTTTAACACTTTTGGTAAAAGTTTTGTGCATAGACGGTACCCTCGTTTTGATACCTTGTTAATATACATCTTATACTTTTTATTTAAAAAAAAAAAATTAACTTGTTCTCCTATTTTAGTAGATTTCCTAAATAGACTTTAACAATTCCATTTAATTATATTTGATGCTTACAAATAAAGTACTACTTTAGTTATTAGGTAGACTATTCATATGATTATTATACAAATATTTGAATAATTGATTTGATTATTGAATCCAAGATCTGTAATTTTGGTTCTTAATAAACTTTATCTAAATATTGTGCTGAAACACCTTTTTATCCTATACCAATTGGTATTAGAACCTAACTTTAATCATGATAGCATAATTTTTCTCTAACCATTCACAACCTATTGCTGAAGTAGTAGCATCACAAAATCCTAAAGCAGAAAGAAGGGCAAAACAGTTCCAATTCATCAGAGCAGTACAAGCACATTCAAGACAAAGACTTGGCCACAAGCATTTGCCAGCCACCGATGGGGGGTCGGCATCACCAGACTGACCATCAACACTAGAGGACACCAACAAGCCTACCCACCAAGTCTCAGCCCCAAAATTTCGCAAAAACCACCACAACTTACCACTTGAAGTTGCTCTTGCTGCTGCCTTGCCAAAATCTATCATTCTCAATAACATCAACTAATCCAGAACCAGGGCCTCCAGCTGACTCTAGATGACTCCAGAACTGGTTTGACTCAATCCTGTTTGACTTATCCAGTTCAGCCACCGTTAGAGCAATTCTAACATTTTCATACCAACTCTTTATGTTTTTGGGCATGTTCCTTAATTTTTTTAGGTTAGTTTGATCAAATTCACATTCTACAGTAATATATTGATAATTTGGACAAATCACATCCTCATTCAACTAGTGAACATCATCTTTTAGATCAAATACTCTCAAAAGTATATCAAGACTCATCTAAATCAATATGAGATGCATGTTGTCCATTATTAAGAGACTTGATCAATAATCAACTTCTCAAGCACTAAAATATCAATTGAAACTTAAACTTGCTTGCTCAATATGTAAGCTAACTCAAACAATTGCGCCAAATATTCCTTTTGATGATGCGCCAATGAAAAAAAATTTTGAACTAATTGCTTCTATGTTTTAAGATATTAAAATGACCATACAAGGAAACCACATGTCAGAGAGATCTTAATTCTTGAATTAGTTGCAAGAATTAGATCATATTTATTGATGTTGTATCCTGATTGCAAAGAACTAATTATAGAAATGACCAAGCACTTTCTGAAGTCTATCCAATCTCAATGAAAGAATTTTCTCTTATACATGGACGTGATTATAGAAATGATTACATCTCGATTGAGTATCTCTTTCCACTCATGCACAGTTTTTTATGAAATAATGAAAAGGTTTTGCCGGTCGGTTATTGGGGATATGTCTCGGAAGTTGTGCTATTATGCTTAAACCATCTCTGATGCAGACAATAAAATCATCAGGTATTCCCATTCACCGTAATAGTGATCACTGCATGCCACGACCTATCTCTTTCTATGGAACAATATGTTACTATCGTCGATGATTCAACTCAGACAGCAAGTTAATAAATGAAGTAACCAAGGAGATCATCGTTGACCATCCAACTAATGATAACAAGTTAGTAAATAAGACAACTGAGGAGATTGTGAAAGATGTAATTTCTATTGTACAAATTAATCCACCTGCATGGGTCTCTCATTATAGTTGTAAGCAATGATATTATTAAGGTTGAAAACGATGATATTTCATTGATTTTAAGAACAAACAGGCTACAGCTGAAGATACTATCCTAAAACCTTCCCTCGGATTTAATAGCAATAAGAAAAGTTTGCTTATTCTTTCTTTTATGGATTTTGCCAAAAATTTCTGTCTCCTAATTGCAATCAGAAAATTTCTCATATCTATATTTTTCCATCAGCCTACATTAGAGTGCAACCTTAGTCAAGAAAACTGAAAAAACAAGAAGAGTAGGCCGAAAATACTTGGAAACCGTTTTGAACTGCAGAAAACTGGTCTAGAAGAGGCTGTATTTTTGTTAGAAACTAGAAGAGACTAAAGTCTATCAAACTGGTTGGTCAAAGCTGGCTAAGTAAAAGTTAAAATAGAGCATATCCGGTGATGCTCACTTCGACAATGCCAACTTGCATTTTACATGTGTATGCGACCCATGCCTCAATCTCTACTAACCAGAGGATGTGGGAAATTCTGGAAATACACACAACTTAAAGTGATCGTTACAGATCAAGGTTCAAGCAAGGCTTTTTGACTAGGATAATGATACTCTATTGGTGGTAGATTTGCAGTGGCGAGTAACTCTTATTCCAGTGGCATTTTGCAGTGAGGCTCTAGGATGTGCCTATTGAAGTGTTCTGAGGCTCTATGGTGGTCGTGAGAGTCACTTTCCACCAGTGATTGTGCTCTGAGATGGCTACTATTTTGTGACTAGGTTTACACTTTCTATTGTGTGTAGGCTTTTTTTTAATCAGAAGACTAAGTATCATTTTGGACTGGATTTTTAAGATTTGTTGGGTATATTGGAACTTTGACCTTGATACCAAGTGACATAAGAAAAATTAGGCTTAGCTTCCCCAGTTTGGAATTTAATAGAACCTAGATATTGCATCTAAGATTTCTTAAATATCATATGTAAAAATCCTTAAGCATCACACTGTCTGATTCCATCTCACAACCAGAAAATTGACGAATCTCAAACAATTTCTTGTTGAGTAATCAGCCTTCTTTCAAAAGTGAGACTATAAAGGTAGTTATAGCGATTTCTACCTAACTTTTCCCAGATACGATTAAACTAAAAAATACTAGTTCTACTTACAATAGAGAATTTAAATACTTAAAGAGAATGAAATCCTAACACTAAACTTGTAATAACAGTCTGAAGTAGAATAACAATTCTATATTTAAAATTTTATATTTTAATTTTTTTTCTTCAAAAAAAATATTTGAAAGAATTATATCTTTCAGGCTATCTAGCAAATCCAACTTGAATCATTCTGCAGTAGCTATTGGCTCTCTTGAGAAGCCCTTATCACCCATATAAGATATTCAATGCAATGAGGATTACATTGCTATTTGAATAGAATATGAAGCATTTCTTTCTTTAAATTTTGGTTTCTTCTCCTTTCTTCGACCCTTTTATTTTCCTTCTCCCTCTTATTCCCTCTCCCCTCCTAGTTTTTCCTCTTTCCACCTTAATTGTTCTTACAAATTAAATTATGCAGGACAAGTACCAATCAAACAAACATGTCCTGCAGATAGTTTAGAAATAGGGGAAATTTAGGTCATAAACAAAAGAAAACAGATAGATTAAACGAAATTAGAGATCAATGTGAAGAAATATATGGAAAAGTAGAATGAATGAAATAGATTAGATGAAATAAAAACAAGAAGAATGAATACAGAAAAAAAAAAGGTAATAAGGAATAAAACCGTAATAAAGAAAGTCTTAATTCATCATCAACTATCCTTCTTTTGTCTGTAGCTACTTACCTTTCTATACTCACTAGTTACAACTAATAAGGAAAATTATAAAAGAAAAAGTCTAAAAAATTCTAATTCATATAATATTTCAAATCAACCTAAAAAAACTAAAATACTCTAATGCCTCAATTAATAAGGAAATTACAAAATAGAAACTCTAAAAAATTTTAATTCCTATAAGATTTAAGATCTACCTAAAAATAAATCAAAATATGTTAATATCTAAATAAACTTAAATAACTTTAAGATACAAAAAAGCAACAATTAAAAAAAATTCTTTAATAGAAAATTTATTTCAAAATAAGAGCTTGGTCTGCTTCATTACCTTATTTCTTGAGATTGGATAATTGTGAACGTAGATTACATGAGAAATGTGATCAAAATTTAGCAAGAACGATGTTCTATAAATTAGGTTGGGTTTTAATCCATGCACCACTATACCAGTGGTCTTTGTTTCTGAAATGTTTTCAAGAATATGATTAGCAAAAATTTAGACTTTATTTGGTGCACGATGTATATGCATTATATATATATATATATATGAATATATGGATATACAGTATTTAAGTACGAATGAAAAACAATGTCTTAGAAAATATTACAGATGACCTTTTATTACTTTTAACTTGATGTCATATATCTATTTTCATTCTTAAGTACAAAACATCTTTTTATAGTAAACATATATGAAAACCGAGGATGGAATTTCCTACAATCCTAAGACAAATCAAACTTGACCAAACAATTTCTGTAGCTGTCCCTAGATTTAAATTTCTTACCAAACATTCGTACATGTAATATACTTTCAATAAACAAATGATAAATAGAAAATGAAACATTCCAGTTGGGAGGAATACCTCAATAGTAGCTATTGGAAGTAGCTCAGAACCATTATCAGGCTCAAAATCTATTCCTTCCTCACGTAATTTTGATAATATAGCTGAGTAGTTATCTGATGAACTTACGATTTTATAATAGCTAGCAATCAAAAGAAAAATACAGTATAATTAATGAGGCCAACTTGGAACTGAACATATAATTTCACGCAGTATGCAGAACTGTAAAAGCAGAAAAATTGAGATATGAAGGATAATAGAGACCGATATTTATATATGCCTGGTTCAAAGAAGAATACATCAAGGGGAAATCTCACAGAAGAAAGCTTCAGAGCTACTCAAGAATTTATCCACACACCTACCTTGTTTTTCGTCCCCCCCTTCCCCTCTTTTTCCAAAATAGGTTTTTGGAAGTATGTCAATGAATTTTTCTTTAAGACAGAAAGATTAAGGGTAAATGTACCGCTTCGTTTCCTTTTTCTTTAAAGACCATCACTACAGAGAGTTTTATGTGCTACCTTTCTGACGTATCTTCATCAGTATCATCCTCATATTTTTGAGGTTCGATAACATCCTCTGCACCAGCATCTAAAGCAACAGCAAGGAGCTGATCTTTATCAGCATCTGTAACTTTTATATTTACAACACGTGCACGCCTAAACTTGAACATAACTGATCCAGGATCCGCCATTTTGCCTCCATAGTCCTTAACAACCTCTCTGACAGCTGCCACAGATCGGGTTATCTTATCTGTTAAGACCTCAACTACCATACTAACTCCACCAAAACCATATACCTGAAGAAAAAATGAAAGCTTGTTGCTTATTTGAAGACTCAAATGTAAATCTAAATAGTAGTATTGGACAAATCATCAAGAATCAATCTAGAGAAACAACCCAGAAAATCAATTGCATCAGCAGCAGGTCGCTAAGTATGATATCAAGTTTTGGCCCAACCTCATAAACTTTTTCGATGTAAGCCTCTTGTCCCTTCTCAGATGCTCTCTTAACGTTACGTTCCACAATTTCCTTAGGTACATCAAGCTCCTTGGCTTTCTCAAGTACAGCCGCTAGAACCATATTGGATACTGGGTTTGGACCACCTTTTTTAACACTACATCATAAAATCCATGTTAGTTTTACATGACATCCTTCCTAGAAACCATGTATTAATTCAGTCTTGAACTTCATGAATAACACTCCTTGTTTTTTTTTTTGTTCGCACTTAATTAAACAAAATGACAAGAAATAATTAAGCAATTATCTTACGCAGATACAACTTCCTTCCCAAGTCTGGAGTACAGTTTTGCCTTCTTTGCATCTTGAGCGCCCTGCATTCCCACCACATGCAAAAAGCTTAAGTAAGAATGCAAAATTTTTGTCCTACTATTTTTAGAAAAGACGCAAAATCCCATCTGGATAGAGACATATATGAAGGCCAAACTAGAGGACACCTCCATATGATAACATACTTATATTATAACAGCCTTAAAAATACACATACTAGAGAAAATTACATAAGAAAAATTCAGAAAATACTATGTTCTCATTGATTTGGAAAGAAGAAACAAAAACAAATTGCAGAAAACTACAGTTGACAGAATTCTACATGCCGAACAACAAGGACGATATCAACTATTTCATTCTATTCAAAGCCTATTCTACGTCTAAAACTTACCACTTTATGCACTGAAAAAAACACGACATAGACCCATTGATAGGGAACAACTTTGTTTGGGATTTTCATCAAACAGTTGGCGGCCAAATAAAATTCTGAGTCATAAAAGTAATCCCACCATAATTTATAAGCTGATTGTTATTATGAAGATATATATATATATATATATATGAGAGGAAGAGTGAAATACCTTTCTGCCGGCAATTTTGGAGGAGCGCCTGCCCATACACAGAGGAGGGGAAGTCCATATCTTTCTAACTTGATACTTGCTATCATGTTTGTGGTCCACATAAAATGAAGACCATGAAGAATGCGGTGATAGAGACGATAGAGACAATAACAGGTTCCTATTTAGCAGACCAGTGCCTGCAAAAGAAAACGAATTGGTGGGGCATTTTGAAGACACCCCATCGAAGAATCTGTGGAGAATGGCACCTACTGATCTCATTGAACAATAAGACCCCATCTCGCTGCTGCTCTGATTCTTGCTTTTAGGTGTCCTTTGACTGATTTGTTCCTGGGTTTTGAAGTTACTGCTTTGTGCATCAGAGCTAGTTATCGCGGGAGAGGGATACAGACTTGAAATATGTATTTACTAGCCCACCAGAAGTCTGTGGGAGACAAAAATCCAATGTCGAACCCAATAGATTATTGAAGTTCGAAAAAAGTAAATCCACTGATTCCAATTCACTATTTTTAAAGAAAAGTTGAATTAGAAGGTAATCATAGTTTTTACATTTTCTTAAAGAAATGGTAATATATATACACATTAGATAAACTGTGTAAAGAAATGGTAATATATATATTAGATAAATTATATACAAAATTATACTATTTAACCCGTAAACGTAAAGGAAAAAATCTGGCAAATAGATTATGAACAGGTCATTCTCTGTAAGTGAGGTACATTACAAATTAAATGAAATTAGGCCTAAATGTGGGGAATCTAGAATGGCTCCTTCAATGGAAGATTAAAAGGGAAAAGCCCATTGCACAAGAAGAGCTTAAAGGAAGGTTAAGTTGGTGAGTATACAAGCTTCTTGAGAAGCTAGAACTTGTATTTGTTGAAACACGAGCTTAAAACCTGAAAGAGCACCTCGAGCAACTAAAAAGAGATGCTGTGAAGATATAAGCTTTGGTAATATTTGAAGCTTGCAAAATAATGCACAAGAAGAGTTCGTCTTCGTTAATTTGGTTAGCATAACTAAGTACTAAACTTTTTATAGTGAAATCAGAAAGTAGGATCAATATATGGAGAATTTGTAAATTATCTTTCTGTTTAATCCTTATTGAATATATGTTACGTAAGATTCTTTAAATAATTGTACACAAAAATGTGATTAATAATTTGATATTATGATGTTTAATTTCATTATATCAATAGTATAACATATCAGTGAAAATAAAGGCAGATAAGAAATTTATTACTATATATGATAGTGTGGGTTACTTGTATGCTATGTAAGTAACATGTAGGACACCTAATCTAATATAATGTGACACAATAGATAATTCGTCTTGATACTCCAAAAACAGGTAAAACAAAATAGAATTGTGAATGAACAATATAAAAAAAATAATTTTTATTTCACAAAATTTGCATGAGATAAAGTTAGGAAAAATAGAGTTAGTAGACATATCTGACAAAATTTTATGAAAGATCCTCCATCATAAGAATTTATGTCTTGGTAAAATGTTTATGTTCACTATGCCTCCATATATTAAATTAGTTTTGTGTCTTGGTTAAAAAAAGTAGAAGACAGGGTTGTGTAAATTGATTGGATAATGAAGTCAACTTGAGAATCAAAACTCCATTTCTAATTATCAAGTTGTTGCAAGTTTAGGGAAAATGTAGATGAATAATGGCTAGGGCTATGCGTAAATGAAATAATTATTGAATGAGTGTAATGCTCCAAGTTTAAGAAGGGTATCAAATGAGTTGATTGATTCGAGTGAAGTGTAGATTATTTCATATAAGTCTGGTAAATGTAGGAAATATATATAGCCAAGATTTCATTTTAATGGCTTTGTAAGCTCTTAGCTTTGAGATTGGCCTACTTGTAAAAATTCATTTTCAAAGTAGAAAGTATTTAGATTTAATAGCATAAGAGAGAAATGGGAGACTTTTGAGGTAATTGGCATCGGTAACTTGAATCTTATGCTTACATTAAGACTGAAACATATCATCCTAGTTTACCTAAGAGAGCTATATCAAATAACTATATGTATCAAAAACTTAGACTTATAAATGTTTAAGGAGTAAGGGTTTTTCAATCGGCAGGATATATCCATGGCCAATTTAGGCCAAACTATTCTACCAAAAATTCTCTAAGGATCTTGATAATTTGTAGCATGATAGTTTCTAGTAGTTAAAATATAGACATATAAGAGGTTGGGAGTGCTGCAATAGTAAATTAGAGTAGGACATCTCTACTTACGTAGGAAAGAGTTGAACAGTTTCAACCTTATAATTTTATTTTGTGTCGATCAAAGATGAAAGAAAAGGCTTATGTGGATTGCACTTAACCATGATGGGTAATGTTATACGTTATGTTGGTGGATAAGAGTGTGAGATGAAAGGTTTTCTTAAGTGCGTTATAAAAGACATTGGAAGTTTGATATTAAACATGATATAGGATTTAACTAAATTGAATATTTCTCATCTAAGTACTATATATTTGCGAGACTTGCAAATATGTAACAAGGATGGTTTCAATAACCTCTCCAAAAGGAAAAGGTCATAAGCAAGGAGGAAGTACGTGATTGAAGGAGTCAATAGATTTAGTTTGATCCCTCTAAGATAGAAATAATTTCTAACGAGATAAATAGTTAAGAAATAATATCATATAAATGATCAATAGATAAAGAGATAAAAGATCTCCTTGTCATAAACCCTGCTGAAGTAAAAAACTTTGAATAAGATAATAATTCAAAAGGATTTCATGAAGTAAAAATTATAGAAGTTTTTCAATGTGTTTATTAATAAAATATGAAACAACTTGACGTTAGGTTCTTACATGAGGTTTTTTGTATGCATCAAGAGAAGGAAAAGAATGAATATCTATTACGACATACAACTTTAAGAACAAGAAAGGAAATGAGAAAAATCCCCCTCCACTCTAGTGCAAATTGAAAACCGAGTAGAGAAAGGAAGAATTTTATTTCTCTCCAAAGTTGTCCTAAAACTCACCATATGTTTATTACATATTCTTTAATTAATTTAAAGTTATTATTTGTCTCCTCAATGTTGGTGTACATAATCATTTAGTTAATATGTACTTATATTTGTAGCTAATTTTATGAATGTTAAGGACAATTAGTTTAATTTCAAAATTAATTTATATTTTTACTCTCGCCTTAATTAATCAAGTTTTGAATTTTTTTAAAAAAATAAAAAATTATCTGAAGCCAAATTCCCTTGAAGTAAAACTCTCAAATTTATATAAAATTTAAGAGAAACAATACACTAATTAAATACTCTTTTTTTTTTCATTTTAAAATAATTTATAACCCTCAACGCGGAAGGTTTCGTACTCTACGACTTTTTTTTTTTTAATTTATTTGTCAGTCTCCCTTCCTTCCATTTCTATTCTCCAGTAGTCCATTTTCTTTTTCTTTTTCTCCCATCCTCTCTTCACAGACAACAATGGCGCACTTATTCAGGGACCTATCTCTAGGCCATTCGAAGAGAGAGAATACACCACCACCTCCACCCATAACAATGCCGACCAAACTCACCGTCACACCCATCGATCTCCCCTCCTCTCCCCTCGGCCAACTCGCTATCCAACTCACTGACTCCGACCTCCGAATCACTGCCTATGAGATCTTTGTTGCTGCATGCCGTACCTCGTCTGGCAAGCCCCTCTCCTCCGCCAATTCTGATTCACCGAGTCATCTCGCCAACACAAACTCCCCAGGTCACCACTCGCCTAGCTCCCCTGCGCTTCAGCGGTCGCTCACGTCGGCCGCCGCCAGCAAGATGAAGAAGGCCTTGGGCTTGAAGTCTCCTGGCTCAAAGAAGAGCCCTGGCTCGGGCTCCGGCCAGACCAAGCCCAAGCGCCCATTGACTGTTGGTGAGCTCATGCGCCTTCAAATGGGGGTATCCGAGACTGTTGATTCGCGCGTCCGTAGAGCTCTCTTGAGAGTCTCCGCTAGTCAGGTCAGTCCAATTTACTGTCTAGGATCCTCATGTCAGGTTTGTGGAGGATATACACATCAGTGAATGTCTACTTTTGGTTGATCTGATTTGTGTTTGGTAGTTTTGTGATGTTTTTGAAGTAATCGAAAATGATCGGTTTGAGTTCAATGTCGGTGTTGAATTGTTCTCGTCTTGAATTTTTCTCGTTGATCTGGCGATGGGAATAATTGAGTTGTAAGCAATGTAACCGTTAGTTGATCTGCTGGAAACTATGTCGCTGAATATAGGAAGCGGTAATCATTTATGTCGACAGTGTTGATAATTTATAGTAGCTAGATTACATAGCTATTCACAGAACAATTAAAATGTCATTGCAGAATGTTTCCAGTTAACAAATTTTCTGGCCTTTTCTCCGATAATTTAACCAAAGTTATCGTTAATTCTTTTCATATGCTGACTGCAAGTCTTAATTCTTCTGAGATCTGTTTTCTTGGGATTCCTCTGGTCTATAAATTTGCTGCTGTCGCTATTGGAATATTGAACTTTTATATTTTATCAGGATGTGCTTGCTGCCTTTTTCTTTGGATGACAGACTTTTTTTAATATATTTTTCTTTTGTTGTTATTCGAAAATTTTCCATTAAGATATTGTTGTTATGTTTTAATAATGCCGGTTCTTTATTTTGCATAACTTTATTTAACTTTATTCTGTTTGCTTCTATATGACAGTTCATGTTCACTGTCTTTATTTGTATGACAGTTCATGTTCAATGATGTCGATAATTCCCATCCTCTTTTGAATCTTCAATAGTTTGAATAAGCTAAAGTCATGTTTTAGCTATTGATCTTTGTTTTTGGTAAGAATTAACCATGAAAACTGTTATTTGATTTTTCCTGTAGTGAATCTTCTCATAAATGTAATTGCTACAGGTTGGAAGACGAGTTGAATCGGTGGTTCTTCCACTGGAGTTATTACAGCAGCTCAAGCTTTCAGATTTCACAGATCAACAGGAATATGAAACATGGCAGAAAAGAACCCTCAAAGTTCTTGAAGCTGGTCTGCTATTGCATCCCCGCGTACCTCTTGATAAGTCGAATTCTAATTCACAGCGGCTGCGACAAATAATTTATGCAGCCTTAGATAGGCCCATAGAAACAGGAAGGAATAATGAATCAATGCAAGTTCTCCGAAGTGCTGTTGTGTCTCTTGCTAGCAGATCTGATGGATCTCTCCATGAGTCATGCCATTGGGCCGATGGATTTCCATTTAATCTCAGACTATATGAAATGCTTTTAGAAGCATGCTTCGACGCTAATGATGAAGCATCTGTTATTGAGGAAGTTGATGAGCTTATGGAACACATAAAGAAGACATGGACAATCCTTGGAATGAACCAGATGCTGCATAATATCTGCTTTACTTGGGTTTTATTTCTCCGGTTTGTTGCAACTGGACAAGTTGAAATGGACCTGCTTCATGCTGTTGATACTCAGCTGGCAGAAGTTGCAAAAGATGCGAAGATAACCAAAGATCCAGAATACTCCAAGATCTTGAGTTCTACGCTGAGCTCAATTTTGGGTTGGGCAGAGAAAAGGCTTCTTGCATATCATGATACTTTTGACCTTGGCAATACTGAGACCATGCAGGGCATTGTTTCTCTAGGGGTGTCAGCAGCCAAGATTTTAGTCGAGGATATATCTAATGAATATAGAAGAAGGAGAAAAGAAGTTGATGTGCCTCGCAGTAGGATTGAAACTTACATCAGATCATCACTTCGCACAGCTTTTGCTCAGGCAAGTGTTTCTAATTTACCTCTGGCTAACCTTAGGAATGGTAAAAATGTGACATGTGCATGTGTATACTGGCACAGCTATCTAAAATGCATGTAACCAAAGATGGCACTTCATGCAACAGGTGCAATGTGTTAGTTTGAAGAAAGAAGTGAAAGAAAAAGTTTATAAATCTCCAATCATGCATGAGGACTTTTCAGTGAAACAGTAATGCATACGTTCATGCAGCTGAATTATGCTATGAATTTTTCATCACAGGATGTGATATCTCCATATCAGGAATTTGACTCTTCTTTTTGGAGGAATGGGGGTTGATGAGCGAGGATCCTTTGTCTTTGCTTTTTTTTTTTTTTGAAATAAAAGAATATCCTCAAGCTTTTTTATAACCCAATACCCCCCATGCCCACCTGTTCTGCTTATGGTTACCAATATACATTAGAATAAATCTAAATTATCGACTTTTTTATGCACTATAAGCAGCTGGACTTAAGTTTCTTGTTGCATTTTGTTTCGTTTGGATGTGACTACTGCCACTAGTTTCATTTGTTTGGTTCTTGTCAGCTTTTCTTCAGCGTACTTGTTTATTTCAATACTACAGGTTTGGAATCCACAAGCAAATCAAGAAGGATATGCTCCATCTGCTGGTGAAGTTTTGCGAGTTATTGATGAAACTTTAGATGCATTTTTCCAGCTGCCTATTCCTATGCATCCAGCATTGCTACCTGACTTGATGGTTGGCCTAGACAAGTGTCTCCAGTATTATGTAACTAAGGCCAAATCTGGCTGTGGTAAGCTTGCAAATGTTCTAGACACGTCTTTCAGCTTTTAGGTTTTCTATTAATTGCTATTTATTTTGTTTTGATATTCAGGATCACGGAACACATACGTCCCTACCATGCCAGCGTTGACTAGATGTACTACAGGATCAAAGTTCCAAGGTGTGTGGAAGAAGAAAGAAAAGACAACTAATTCTCAGAAAAGGAATTCACAGGTTGCAACAATGAATGGAGAAAATGCTTTCGGGATAGCCCAACTGTGCGCTCGTATCAATAGTTTGCATAAGATTCGAACAGAGTTGGATGTTTTGGAGAAAATAATAATCACACATTTAAGGAATTGTGAATCTGCTCATGCAGAAGACTTTTCAAATGGTTTGGGAAAGAAGTTTGAACTCACACCAGCTGCTTGTGTGGAAGGAGTTCAGCAACTCTCAGAGGCAATGGCTTATAAACTTATTTTCCATGACCTAAGTCATGCTCTGTGGGATGGTTTATATGTTGGGGAGCCATCATCGTGTCGTATTGATCCCCTCCTTCAGGAGCTTGAGCGGAACTTGGTGATCATCTCGGACACTGTGCATGAAAGAGTTCGTACAAGGATTATAACAGATATAATGAAGGCTTCATTCGACGGATACTTACTGGTTCTGCTTGCTGGAGGCCCTTCCCGTGCTTTCTCCCAGCAGGACTCTCAAATAATAGAGGATGATTTCAAATCTCTTAAAGATCTATTCTGGGCAAATGGGGAAGGTTTGCCTGCTGAATTGATAGATAAGTTTTCAGCCACAGTGAGAAGTGTTCTTCCCCTTTTCCGAACTGACACAGAAAGCCTCATTGAGCGGTTTAGACGTGTGACCTTGGAGACGTATGGCTCTTCTGCTAGGTCTAGACTTCCACTACCTCCAACTTCAGGTCAGTGGAATCCTACTGAACCAAATACACTCCTACGTGTTTTGTGTTGTAGAAATGATGACTCTGCTTCAAAGTTTCTGAAAAAAACTTATAATCTACCTAAGAAACTGTAGTAATCCAAGTTATGGATAGCAATCCATGCTAGTTGCAAAAATGTTGTGAGCTGGACATATTGGGTGGTGGTTGGACATTTAGACGTGATGGTGTGGGTGGAGGCTGAGTTCTTACTTGCTGACTGAGCCTGTGATTGCCTGGCGAGGTGGTACAGATCTTGTATAGTACGGTTGAAGTATTTTTATTAGGTCTACCCTTTAATGGAGAAGAATTGCGGTCATAACAAAAAGAAAGGGCATGAAGCTGGCTATCTTTTGACTTGAGAGAAGGTGGTCATTATTATTTATGTTGATTGTTTGAGTATCGTAGATTCAGGTCTATTGACCAAGCTGCATTTGTTTAGATATGAGGTTCATTGGTTCTTTTTATTTCGTTTCTACTTATTATTTTTACTTGAATGAATTCTTTTTAGAGTTGTGTTCTTCGATGTAGAATGTGCAATATCTTGATCAATACTTGTATTTATTATTATTAGCATGTATCATAAAAGAGGGTTGTGGATTGTAATTGATATTGTTTTCTGCAATCTCCAAAAATAAGAGAAGTCGAGTAATGCTGGATGTGTTTGTTGTTGCATATGTCTTTTATTATATTAATTAGCTGTTAAAAATGTATGATGGCATTCAAACGAGTTCGACTCCCACAACTCTACTTTCACAGAAACCGAGGTTAGTTAATTTCAAAGCTCAATTCATATACGTACAGTGGCTCTTACCGAAGGCATGCTCATCAAGGCGTCACAAGTATCCAAGACTGCCTCTGGTTGGTACCTCCATATCAAATCCTGTTTCTTTTGGGTACTATGGAAATTTGCACTTCCATGTTGACGTGATGATCCCCTTCTTTATTATTATTATTATTATTATTATCATTTTGGTTTTTTTTTTTTTTTTGTCTGTAAATTTCATCAATTGGTGCGTTCAGTCTCGCCTCCAGGTGCAATTTATGAGTTCCTTAGTTATGCGCCAAGTATATGATCTATATCTGGTGAACATTCAAATACAAGCATCTTACAGAAATCTAATTCACCTTTACAGCAGTGGTGGTTCACTCGAAAAACTTATATCCTCATGTTTTCATTCAATCATGTGCTTCCATCATAAAAAATTCTCTTTTGGATGATTTACACCATGCTTTATTAATATCAGTTACGATCTGCTATATGTAAAATTTATTAATATTTAAATTTAATTATATTTTAATAATGATATATTAATGTCTGATAATAATAATTATTTTTGTTTGTATTGACAAGATAATATGATTATATATTTTAACAAATTTTTTATTTTTTTCTGTTTTATTGTATATAGTAATAAATAAAAAATAAAAAATATATATAATATTAAATATATAAATATATATAATTAAAGGTATATATATAATTAAATATATTATATAAATGTATTTATATATAATTAATATATGAATTTAATTGAATATATAAATACATATTTATATATAAAAATATATGCATAATTAAATATATATATATATATATATACAATATTTTGAAAAGAAGAAGAAAAATATAAGAACTGATGGGTATAAGAAATTAAATGTAACGGCTCCAAAAATTTAAATAAAATATATGTATTAAAAATCTCAAATGCGGAAGCGTAATAAAAATTTTAATTAACATCTCTTACACAATAACCAAAACGTACTCAAAACATGAAGGAACAAACTAAGTAAAAGAGATACTCGAAATAAAAACTATAAATATAATTATAAAGTCTTTAGGCGTCTACTTCGCCGTCTTCATGCGGAACGGGCTCGGGAACAAC